GAAAAGAAGACTGTTAAGTGGGACATGTATGTAAACCATTTGTCATGTAAAAGGATCATGTGAAGAGTAGTATGTGAAAAAAAGAAGCTGCCTATGTTTCATCCCTAAGCTGTAAACACAGACAGTACATGGTGCGGTTAGGGGTGGGAATCATCAGTACAGCCACCCCTAACCATACCATGTACTAAAAGCTAACACTCTCACGATTCAATATAGCGTTACTGAATAAATTGTTTCTTATCAACCAATTATGACATTTGCACAGAAAACAGTTTGATATTTGATATTTTTTTTTTGATATTTCTACAAAAAACAATTTTAATCTTCTGCTGGATCTACTGATAACAAAGTTGGCTGCTGACTGGCACTGAATGCAAAAAACGATCAAGAATTTTGCACGCACCTGGATATCCTCGGCACTTTCCAGGATCTTGATTTCCTGTGGTGGCGGAACCTCCAGCACAGGCTCCGGTGGAGCACCACCATCCCCACTCATCCCTTGATCCATTTCGATGCACCCAACCGAGAGAGTAACCTGAAAATTGCCTACTTATCACCACAACAACGCATCCTGCACTCGCTCTCTTTACGAAACGTAGGCACTCCAAAGTATTCCGATGTAGCATGTGTAGGTAGCAGCTAGCCGCTGGAAAAGCTGTTGTCGATAATTCCTTCTTTCAAGGTTTACTTAAAAATAAGCTGGCTCTGGGTATCATCACATGCCAGTATCAATTTACCATCGAAACGAATGAACGAATCATACATGCAACTGGCTGCCCCAGTTGTGGAGTTGAACCCAGTTCGGTTGGAGCAAAAGCGCGCAGCTGCTTACCACTACGCTATGCCAACCGATAGCCTTTCGACGTGGAATCTCCGCTTGTGCGCTGTAGCGCATATCTACTTCCTGGGCCAGGGAAAGACGTAACTGTCAACTTCTCACGTAGCTGAATACACACACCGAGGAGTACTGCACCGCAACAGTGTACCCGCCAACCGTCTGGCACCAACGAATAGGGTCCTGTCTGCTCGGAAACCAGTGCTGCATCATCCTGACACAGTCGACAACGGGCTGGGCAACATGCTAGAGACCGAGGACAGGACGATGAGAGCCGCCCTTCTGACTACACAGCGAATCCAGGAGGCAGACAAAACAAGGGTAGCTGTGCTTC